TAAATACTGAGGCAAGGCCTTAGCCTCCAAACCTTGGGACACCATTGATACAGAGAGCACTATCTGTCCAGTCAAGACAACAGCCCAGAATTCACCTGAGAGATTTGCAGAGTTTTTGCCACTAACTTGAGAAAAAGAAACCAGAACCAGGTAGCAAAACACCTGTCTCACATCTCTTTTCTCCAAGTTTCTGGAATTCTTTATGGCTGTGATGCCAACTGGAAAGAAAAGCAGTAAAGGTTCCTCTCAACAAGAACAGCCTGTCACACACTTTTGAAAGGCAACAATCTTCTAGCCAGGGAAGGAATTTGAACCTGAGCCTCCTCTGTCCTTCCTGAGCACAAAAAAAAACCCACTCAAATAGAACGACAGCAGCCATATCAGTAAGGAAAGCAGCAGTCATTCCATGCATTTTATTTCATGCTTATTCCCAGGCCAAGCTCCTTATGGAACCTGGGAAAAAGAATGCTAAGTTTCAGGATCTCAGCTGAGCTTGAGGCTGAGCTGCAATGCTCCTGTCCCACTGAGGCAGCTGTGGATTTGAGAAGAAAATAACTTCCAGATGTTTGGCAAAATAAAATGCTTGGGGATTTCTGCAGTTCACCTACCTCCAAGATGAAGCAGCAAGGGGTCTTTGGCAAGCAAAACAGAAGTGCTCAAGTCTCATTTTATACACTCAATTCCTTTTTAGTCTATAGCATCACACACCCAGATAGGTCCTCTGCAATCCCCAGGTAGGAGAGGTTTACTGTAGATTTTACCTGTCTGCATCAGAAGGAATTATTTCTAATTTCATGGAACTACCCTGTTATGGTGCTTTCTACTCATGGGGAATGACATGCTCATAGCAACAACTCGTAGAGCACATACGACTTCACACAAAGGTGCTTCGTTAGTGAAGTTTCAGCTTTGGTTACAGCACTGGGCATTTAACCTTCTAAAATCCATCAGTGACAAAGGCTTATGCTTTTGCACAACTGTCTTCTCTCCCATCTCTAATGCCTGGAAATATCTGAGCTTCAATGCTTATGCTACAAAGGAAGCTCTGCAGCTTCCAAGTGGCTTAGGGTCAAATTGCTCCTTTGAAAGCAAGCTCTTTGCAAAGCTATCAGAATAGCAAAGTGAATCTCCTCCACCTTCTGCACCTTGTTCCATCAAGTACAAGGGAATCTGGGCATGCACATTACATAAAATTAACCAAAATCTTCATTTTTATATAAAATGAAAAAATTAAGGGATTCTTCTTAAATCAGCCATCAGAAGCTGCACTTTAAATGAGCATTTTGATGTAGTGCAGGCAGCTTCAGACATGGGAAGAAGAAGAGTGTGAGTGAAGTTTTCCATTTGCAGTCTGCCAGGAAAGAGATCCTCTATTATGAGGACTTAATGCTGTACCATCAAGTTATGGTACAGTACCACCAAGTCAGTAACAAAACTGCAAGTTTGGTACATGGGGAAGCCTGAAGGCAATCACCCATCACAGCTCAAGAAAAAGTATAACATTAATCCGTGTATTCACTGGTGCCTTCATCCAAACACGCCAGCAGACAGCTAACACTGACATAATGCAGGTGAAAAAGCTGCTCTACATGCTAGCATCTTCTGCATGTAGCAATATTCTCATTTCAGTGCAGATTTACTCTTTGACTTCCAAATATGCAACACACAACAAGCCTAAATCTATTCAGGCGTAATAAGCCATTTTGAGAATGCTAGTGTTAAACTACTCCTGCTCTGGTGTGAGCCAAGAGATAGCTCATTTTTCCTTAGGCTAGACCTCACTGACACCTCAAATGGTTTTCCTTTTGTCTTGGCCTTAATTCAAGGGAGCAATTTAGCCAGGTTCAGTGTGAAAGTCATTCATACCTCTTTTTTCAGCGTGACTCTGCTGACATTCCACTCTTACTCTGCCTTTAAGCAGTGACTACCAGGCTTTTTGCTCAGTCCCAAGAAGGCTGTTTACTCTCTCAACTCAGTGCATTAACCATGCCAAGTGCAAGGTCCTACACCTGGGTCGGGGCAATCCCAGGCACAGCTACAGGTTGGGCAGAGAAGAGATTCAGAGCAGCCCTGCGGAGAAGGACTTGGGGGTGTTGGTTGATGAGAAAATGAACATGAGCTGGCTTCAGTGTGCGCTTGCAGGCCAGAAAGCCAACCGTATCCTGGGCTGCATCAAGAGGAGCATGACCAGCAGGTCGAAGGAGGTGATCCTGCCCCTCTACTCTGCTCTTGTGAGACCTCACCTGGAGTATTGTGTGCAGTTCTGGTGTCCTCAACATAAAAAGGACATGGAACTGTTGGAACAAGTCCAGAGAAGGGCCACGAGGATGATCAGGGGACTGGAGCACCTCCTGTATGAAGACAGGCTGAGGAAGTTGGGGCTGTTCAGCCTGGAGAAGAGAAGGCTGCGTGGAGACCTCATAGCAGCCTTCCAGTATCTGAAGGGGGCCTATAAGGACACTGGGGAGGGACTCTTCATTAGGGAATGCAGTGATAGGACAAGGGGTAACGGGTTAAAACTTAAACAGGGGAAGTTTAGACTGGATATAAAGAGGAAATTCTTTCCTGTTAGGGTGGTGAGGCACGGGAATGGGTTGCCCAGGGAGGTTGTGAATGCTCCATCCCTGGCAGTGTTCAAGACCAGGTTGGACGAGGCCTTGGGTGATAGGGTTTAGTGTGAGGTGTCCCTGCCCATGGCAGGGGGGTTGGAACTTGATGATCTAATCTTTCCAACCCTAACTATTCTATGATTCTGCGATTCTATGTCTATCACATCTAAAAATCCCATTTCTCCCAAGTTAATTCTACACACCTTTTCAGGGAGCGTGGAAAGGGTGAGAAAAGCTCACATAAAAGCTCAGACCCTGAGATTTATCAGAATACTGTCCCACAGAAATACTCCATCATGCCCTAGGACCACTCCAGAGTCCCTGCCCTGCCATAAGGTAACAATTTTGTACCCTGAGAAAGGAGATGGGAAGGAAGTATAGCTCTGGCTCAAACTGACTCACGCCTGTGTGGTTAAGGCATTTCAGTGTGTGTGGTTTTAACAGCCCTAAGCTGCAATTGCTCAAGAGGCAATATTCCATTTATATCCAACCTATAAAGTTTTGGCAACATTCCCTTTGGTTTATAACAGTTAGGGACTAAGGCAGATATTCCCCTCTCTAATGTGGAAAGGTCAATATTTTTTATACTGGTTTTGCAATTTTATTTTCTTTTTAGTATTGCAAATAAAGCACTTAATCTCCATCTATTGCCTGAAAGAATTAGGGAGTAATATTGGACCACCCTACAAGCATAACTGGATGATTGTCATTTTTCAGTGTTTTCCCTCAACTAGTCTCTTAGGAAAAAGCTTGAATGATAATAGATCATTCTTGTTCCACATAATTCAAACCAGATTCCCAAGTCTCTAAACATACCCAGCACAAACTCAGAGTGCCCCAAAGCAGCTTGCAAGTCATTCAATTGCTGCAAAGGCCAAGAAAGATTTGCAGTGGCAGAGCAAGATAATGCAAACTGCAAGCTGTTACCGATAGCTGCATTTCAGATGAGGGAAAACCAAATAACCTCAAAGTATGACAGAATGAAAGCACCTGAAAACTACTTTGAGAACTTAACAGCTTAGATACAAATTCTATCTTTAGCATCCAGAGGGAAAAAGTTACTTGCACATCAATTAAAATTTTCTGCACAAGACAGTACTTGTGGACAGTGAAAGGAGTAATAGGAAGTATGTCTGCAGCTGTTGCAGAGGATGACCAATGAAACCCCAGTTTCTTCCCCAGAAGACCTTGCTCATGGATATGGGTGAAAATGGGGGATACCTAAGGAAATCCATTGTGACTTCCCAGAGTTCCTTTTAGAACGTCCCACCTCTGGGAAAAGATTCAGACTCACGGGGTTTCCTGGCTAAGAATGGAGTTATTTATTCAATATTTAATTCCTTTTTCTATCCAAAGGATAAACTATAGAAACTGGAAAGAATTCCCTCTCCCTTCAGTATCTGTGTCCACAAGGCCCTCACTGATACTAATTTTAGCCCAAGTCTACCCTGTGTGAATACTCAGCAGAGAGAGAACTGGTCTTCTCCTTACAGGGGGGTAAACTGATTCCACAGAAATGTTTCTATTGCATGGTCTTATGGAGGTGTTGCAGAACTGGAGACAGCACAAACTTAGATGTGTCCCTGAAAAGTATTTATACTATTACCTTCTCAATGGGACAATCTGGCACAGCTAAATTGGGATAAAAACTCTGCAAAACAGCTCTTGGAGAGCTTTAATCACTTAAGTGGGAATTGCTGGCCAAGGGGACTACTTTTTCCACCATTTAAAATAAAACCCCCGGTTATGCATCTAACCGCAGATCATGAAAACAATAAAAATAAAACCAATCACAATACTCTCTCATTCCTTACAGTCTGTTTTCACACACTGCTGCTTGTTACTGCAAGGACACTACTTACTCTTATTCTAATTCAGATGTGTCAAAGTTACTCCCAGATTTTTATGCTTTCCAGATAAATTCTTAACCTGTAACTTGAAAAGGACAGCTTCTCACCATTAAGTTCCCTTGAAACCTTTGTAACACCCCCACTCACCACTCCTGCTTTAATATTCCCTAATGTTGGTTAATGCAGAAACTCACCCTCACTACCTATATGAGTTGTACGCAGGCTGAATTAGATGTCACCTTGAAAGTGCTGGCTTTTCCTTCTGCACCTGTGCTGCAACACTCCCCCACTCCATCTTTAGCCAAAGCCTGACCTGAGTAAACACAGAATGATTACATGGCAGCCTCACTGGACCTCATGGATGTGGGATGGCTGTTTCTAAAGACAACATGGCATGTTGATTGTCGCAATCCGTTATAAGTCTAAACAATCCTTTCCCTGGGAAATCAGAGAAAACCAACTATATGCAACAGGAATGCACTATACTGAACATTCAGTCAAAACAGTAATATAGAATATTAAGAGAAATGAGAGTGGACGCACTGAGAGGTGCTTTTTATTTGACTGATTAGTTTGGAATATACTGTATGAACTCATTAACCTGAAGAATGGACCAGGAACCAATAAAATTATATGTAGCAGGAACAAAGTAACAAACAAGGATGAAATGATTCCTTCCCCTCTACTCTGCCCTGGTGAGACCCCATCTGGAATATTGTGTCCAGTTCTGGGCCCCTCAGTTCAAGAAGGACAGGGAGCTGCTGGAGAGAGTCCAGCGCAGGGCAACCAAGATGATTAAGGGAGTGGAGCATCTCCCTTATGAGGAAAGGCTGAGGGAGCTGGGTCTCTATAGTTTAGAGAAGAGGAGACTGAGGGGTGACCTTATTAGTGTCTATAAATATATAAAGGGGGAGTGTCACGAGGATGGAGCCAGGCTCTACTCAGTGGCAAACAATGATAGCACAAGGGGTAATGGGTACAAACTGGAACACAAGAGGTTCCACTTAAACTTGAGAAGAAACTTCTTCTCAGTGAGGGTGACGGAACACTGGAACAGGCTGCCCAGGGAGGTTGTGGAGTCTCCTTCCCTGGAGACATTCAAAACCCTCCTGGACACATTCCTGTGTAACATTATCTAGGTGTTCCTGCTCCGGCAGGCGGATTGGACTAGATGATCTTTCGAGGTCCCTTCCAATCTCTAGCATACTGTGATACTGTGAAGAATTGACATATTTCATTCCCAGGTTAGGTCAACTGAAGCAGACACACACCAGGAACCTCCTTTACTCCTTGCACACTCCGTGAGAAAGCAATAACTCTTTCGTAGTGACATCTTGGCACTCAATAGAGTCATTCCTCAGTGACCGACAAAAATACAACACTTGCAGAAAAGCAATGTGTGGCATAAAACCAGGAAAAATCCAGATCAGCAACAAAATACATTATATTCTTCAGCTGTTGTGATAAACTGCTTAAAGACAGATGTATGAAGAGGGATGTTGGGAAGTTCTTGGGATTGGCTGATTCTAAGGGAGAAGCTGAACTTGATCTTTTCTATAAATCCCCCTGAAACAAGCCACATGCACCTCAAGCTCAGGGTTAACTCTGTCCTAAACAGAGCACCTAATCCCTATTAAACACAGCAGGGATTATTTAGGCCTGTGCTACCACTGGTCTCCCTTTTACACAATGTTCAGGCACCTTTAAGACCCTTCTTTCCTGCTTTCACTACTTGAAACCCTTTTGCATTATCATTAAAAGCTTTCTTACATTCAAGCCAGATATAGCAACAGTCAGCAAACATTTCTCAGTTTTGCAGCATCAGGTCTTGTACTTCAAGTACTTGTACTCTTCACCACCAATCCAACAGCTCCTGTTACTAAACACTTGCTCTTTAGCCAAGATTTCACCCATGCTGGAATAATCAAGACTTCCTTTGTGGCTCCACATCATGTAGTTCCACAAAAGAAAAACCATATGGATTTGTTCTCCTAGCACTTACTTCATCTAAAACACAGAGGATCACAAGTAATCATCAGCTTACTTGAACATAAATTCTTACGTATCATAGCTACTTTTATGTCTATAGCATACTTTGCAGAAGCAATGTACTTAGAATTCTGCCTGCTTACAGACACATAACCCTATAGTTTCCTCATTGAATTTTTTTCCCTTTTAAGCACTGGATCTCTATTATCTAGTCTCTAATTATAGTAAGTCCTAATTTAACAGAATTCAAAATACTGTGCCACACTTGCACACTGCATACTTGCTTTCTGAATTCTGAATGGATGACCAAGTCTCAGAACAAACTACTTAGAATTTCTTTTACACTCCAGGTGATTTGAACATTCACATCCTCAGGCCCATCACAAGTGTCTGCTGTAGGGGCAGGATTAGGGAAAGAAACTGATTTCTAAACAGCCACAGCTGAGGGAAGAAGCACTCTCAAATCTATCCAGGAAATTTCACCACTTGGAGCTTGTCTTTGAAAGCACATAGGTAACTTCACAGAACTTTATCATTAACAACTATCTCTGCATTAGTGAAACCAGTCTTAAGAGCATCCCATGAAATATTTCATTTACAAAGCCAGAAGCTCCTCCTCTCCAATATATCTTCTACAGTTCAATAAACTATTTTGTTTGCACCAATTTGCTCTAGAGAGCTGGACTCCTATACCTGGTATTTCTTGTCTTTGACAGAAACTTGTGCAGGAAGATTATGATGTTCAGAGTCAGCGCAAAGCACGTTGGTTGACAACAGCACATAGAAGATGAGAGGAGCAACTGTCTCCAGAAGTGCTTTTTTGTTTTAGTGTTAAGTGATTATCAAAATCAAGGGCTTTGTTTTGTCAAAGAGATCATAGTTAAGCCTCACATGCTTTGAGGTTGCATCTACACCAGGCTACACTGCTACATTAATGTCAAGCCATAACTCAATTAGGACTTGAAACATACCTTCATTTTATACACATGCTTTTTATCCAGGGCAAGTTTAATACAAGCCCTCCAGCAGAAGGGGTTGCAAGGCAACATGAATGCCAAAACATCCCCAAACACTTACCCTGAGCTCTGCCTTGCCAACGCGACTCTTTCAGAGGATTAAAGTGAAAGATTAATTACAGGCAATTACAATTATGCCTGTTAGAGACAATTCCAGATGTGTCAGGGATAAGCACACTTATTGCCTGTACTGACTGCAGAAGCCTGATCACCTCTAAGCCTGGCAGACCTGGAAGCTAGAAGGCCTCAGAAGCACAGCAAGGCAGGTCAATTCACACTTACACCTACTGAAAGAGAAGAAACATTTAATCACAGATGTGTTAGTTTAATGAAAGTTTTGAAATATTTCTGCATAGCTGAAATAATCAAATCGGAGACATCAAGCTTGGCTCCATATTCAAGGCTGCAAGGGATTCAGTTCCAGGACACACACTGAGGGGAAAAAAAACACAGCATTTCACCACTAAACAAATCCTATGGATACATTTGCAGAATGATTTCTGAGGAAGTTCTGAGGACAGACTTCAGATCAAACACTCTTAAAAGAAACAATACCTTAAAATGTTACTGGTTCAAGGACTCTGTTCTAAGTGCACACCCAGTTAAGCACATATTTTAAGGAAATACTTCCCTTCATTTCTGTCAGCAGTGGTTGGTACTGGCTGGCGCTTTAAATGGACACGAGTTTTCTGATCACCTTACTGAAATTCAGCTGACAGACAGTAACACTTCCTTCTGCTGAGGTAACAGTGTTCAAATCCAACTGCAAGAACTCACCCAGTTTAAGTCATCAATGAATCCCTCCAAAAAGAGCACATTACAGGTATAATACAGACACATTCTCAGCTACTATAAAATGGCAGAAGATAAGATGATTTACTCGATCTCCCAATGAATTGCTTATTTTTTATTCACAACTGTTCAGGCACTGATGATAGATGAATAATAGGAAAAATAAAAGGTTAAAAATAATGTATAGTTTAGCACAGAAGGCAACATTTGAACAGAAGCACATCATTTTAATTTGATTTGATTTTTAAAGCAATCTGAACAAAAAAAAGTTAACCATATAAATACAGAATAAATGCACATAATTTACAGCCAACTACATGGATAGAATAATAGCAAACCTCACATGAGCACTGAAGTACTCCAAAACTGTCATTTGTGAGAGTTTAGCTATGAATCTGAGGGCACAGTTATGTTCACATATGCAGGGTAGGCAGATTCTTAAATAGAGGAGCTGAAAACTTACATTAACTGAATCTTAACAGACAAGGCTGGAAGAAGCAATACATTTACCTAGGCACTCTCCAGCATTCAGCTTGGTTTCCCAACTTAAAACAGTTTAAACAGGAAGCAACATTTAAAATGGCTCTCCAATCTTTTGTCTCTGGAAGCATCCTTTTATAATGCTACATTCTGAGGAATGTTACAAATGTCATTATGAGAAGGAAAACAGAATAGCAGAAACTGTCATCAACAAACACCACAATCAGAAAGGAGTGCATTACGTAAACAGGGAACAAGATAGGTGCAATGTCATTATACAAGCGCACAGCTTGACATTTCAGTTACAATTAAAACAACCTAAAAACTCCCTAAACCCCAAGTGTAAAACAATATAGGCCAGCAGATCAGGAATTCAGATAGAAACAACATGTCTGTTAGTTTAAAGGCTTGCCTCAGCCTCTGCAATACAATTCATTTTCATACAGCTCTACAGGGACCAAATAGATAATATTGGGGCTGAGAAGTGTGTCTGCATTCACTGAAATTTATTTTTTTGATGGCTTTCCAAACTCGGGCCACGTTGCCATGTCTCCCCGGTATGGCACTATGCACTGCAACCAAGCCCTGGTAGATAAATTCATGCTCCACTGCCATCTTCTGGCTTAAACGGGGAACTGGAATCGCAGTGCTGGTGCCGAGTCAAAATTAACAGCCTACATTAACACATTTCAACTAGGCAAGGGGAATAGGAGGAAACTAATCCAACTACTGAGATCTTCCACAAATCCAAGACCTCTGCCGCTAGCATACCAAAGTGTGACATAAATACACTACATTCATATATAAATCAAGATGGCCATCTAAGTGGCAAGAAAGTTTAAATGCACTCCTTTAGTTCTGTAGTTAAACGGTTACATAGCATCATCTTATTCTCTTTCAGTTTTTAATATAAAGAAAACCTATATAAATACTTAAAATCTTTGGGAAATATTTCAGGGATAACTTTGCATGTACTGGTATTTTAAAACTACCAAATACCATCCTGTGAATCTTGAAGTTTTGTTATGTAAAGCAAGCCTAAAAGATAACTCCAGAAGTTTAAAACTGCTTAAACACCCATTAAAAAGGCAGAAGAAGCAGCTGATTGTCTGGTTTTAGCTGTCACCTCCCATCTTTAATTGTCTTTGTCAACATTTTCTATTTACCAACTCCAGAGGGTCATTCTCGCCCAGGCAAGGTACACACAAAGTAGCCAGCAAATAAACGGGAGACAAACATGTAACCAAGGGACAGTGTATCCAATAAAACAGGAGGGTAACTCCATGCAGCATAGGCTAATCCAAGTGTTAATTGTATTCATGACTTCCAAACTTGTCTTTGCCAATTTAGATTTTGGCTATGATTGAATAATCTGGACTGCCTGAAGAGCAATTCACTTCCTACAAAACAAGAATTATCTGAACAATGAAATCACAGCAAGACTTGGGGCAAGTCATGAATACTTCAGACTTTTCCTAGAGAGCTCACTAGAAAAAGCCCACTTCAGACATTTAAGCACTCCCCTCACTTTAAAACAATCAAGTTTATCTTTGGTCTCAACACAGACCACACTATCTGCTTTTGAAAAGGTTAGGGAGCATTTTTTAAGAAAGAAGTCAATACAGCTAAGCTTCCACTGTAATACTTTAGGTGACTTTTACAAGAAAAAGCCATTAGTACAGAGAATTACATTAAATACTCAAATACTTTGACACTGGAGAACATGGCAAGGGTCAAAATAAACAAAAGCAAATTAGAAAAACCCAGACAAACTGTTCTGTAAGCTTTGAGCTTTTACATACAGCCTACAGAACCTACAGCAACAGAGATACATTTTATCCTGCACAGCTTACACAGAAATCTAACTACATGCTTTGTTTAAAGCCAAACTGTGTATTTTGAATGCAGTTTGACTACAGGTATCCCAAAAGAGGAAGAAAAGTCATAATCCGTAAGAAGGCCACAAAGTGCATAAGGAGTCATTCATAAAATAAAGCCATTGCACACAATGCACAGTTTAATTGTACTTAAGTACCACACTGGAAGAGTTGATAGCACAGTTCTAGCCACACAAGGATAGCAGCATTTATATGTAGAAAGCTATTGCCCCCAATGTATAATGATAACCCTTCCTCATAAGGATCATGGATGCAGATTGAGAAGTAATCAAGGTGCAGATAAAAGGTATCCATTTGAAACACTGTAGAAGTTCCTGTAACATTAAAGTTCTGATTTTGACACTCTAGCTGTATGGTTTTGGAAAACCCTGCAAATTATGACAGAACAAACTAGCTAAGCATCACTGCTGAATGTGACATTGTTCTGCAACTGTCTTACTGAGCAAGACCAATGCCTTTATATTCAGACAATTTGGAGGACAAGGTTATACTGCTGTTTATTATATATGCTCAAGTTGGAAGAAGCGATATAGCAGTTATCTAGTGGAATGCTTCCAAGAGTCTTAATTACAATTTTCTTCATTGCTCTGCACAGAGGCTGCACTGAAAAAGATCTATCCCACTTTCAACTGTTTTATCTGCTTTCTGGTCACCTTAGCCAAGGTGATGTGTTCTGCCCCTGTACTCCCATATACTGGTAATTCAAGTCAGGATTTGGCAGACATTTTAGGGTAATATCACTTGTTCTTACGTAGCATTAAACTATCTGGGTGAATCCTGTCTTCACAAATGGTAGGCTGGACTACCTGAGGTTCCTTATCACATTACAAATCCTTAACAAGGCTCTTAAGTACCATTCAGCAAGTTCCTACTTAGCTGTGTCAGTGACCTGACAGGTTGGCAAAGAAAACATTTCATATGTCTCTCTTACTTCAGGAAGGCAAGTTCCAGAAGAGAAAAGGTGATGTAGAAGAACTAGGAACCTACAAACGCCAATATCAACAGCTTGATAACCTGGGAGATTTACTGAGAGAGGATTCTGTTGTTACTTACAATGCTGCTCAAACTTAAACACACCAAAAATGAAAACCCCTGAAAAACAAAAACCAAGACCAAACAAAAAGCCAAACCCCAAACAAACCACCGAGTACCACTCTTAATAGTGAGGAAATCACTGTTCTGTGTCCCTGCGCCATATTTTGTCTTGAGATAGCAACATGGAAAACTTTACACACTCACTACTATCTCACTCTCTATGAATCTTCAGAGCAACTGAATGGCCGTTTTGGGTACGGAACGGTATGAAAGCATTGTCTTCCCCATTCTTCCCACAGGTTACCGTGCAGTAAAACAGACCAAAAAAGGACAGTTGAGAGCAATCACTAAGGGAAGCGAATAAGGCTGCCCAATACCAAATTTTACACTCCCTTACCCATTAGGTGTCTGAAGATGATTTAACAGCCTTGCCTGGATTAACAGGTGAAAACAAAGTAACAACTTTGAATTAGCAATGTATAAAGGTATTCCCTAAGGAGCAGCTCCTATTTATTACACTGTCAAGAGACCATAAAATAAGGCAGCAAAGTTATCCAAATTTGCCCACAACCAGCCTTTTGTTTTGTCCATAGCTGCATGTTCCCGATACATCTTTCCTTTGCCCACCACATCGGCATTGACATTCAGTGGTCCACTCCAGTCTCTCCAACTTCCACCTTCTTTTAGGAAGCCTTGTCCCATTGCTATCCTTCGAGCAAGTAGACTACCACTTCATAGGTTGACATCATGATAGCCGTGTTTGGAATCTGTCTGATCAGATGTGTAGTTAAGCCTCTGTAGAGGGAGCCATACCCTTCTTCTCGCACAAGCAAAGATAGTGTCTGGAAGAAAGATCTGTATTTTGTTCCCTCTTCTCTTAGTCTTGTTCGTACAACCTCTGCACAAAGAAAACCACACGTGGTTAACACTCAACGCTGTTAATTATCTTCCCCCTAGACCAATTAGCAATTTCCACTTTAAAAATCCCCCTCGAGTTCTAACTTACAAGTCTTCAAAAACAGAGGAGGAAGACAGAAGCAAGCCCAGTATGTGTAAGAGGAAAACAGGTTGAATATTTGGCAGTATCATAAAATTAAGAAAGGAAAAATCATTTGCTTAGTTAAAAATCCAGAAGAGGACTTTTGTTTGGGCTTATGTTTCAGTTTAGAAGCCACCACTAATAATGTACTCAATCCATTAATGCATAGACAATTACTTTGCAGGAAAACTAAGTGCAACTGGAAACCCAACTAGGCAACCTATTTTCCTAGAAGAGGGACAAGAACTTGCTGGCAAATTCTGTGAAATTGCTGAGCATGCAGAGAGATTCCAAGTGCAAAAGGACCTTCTTAAGAACTTTAGGGTATACCCTAGCAAATCCTAAGTAGAGGCCATACTAGATATCCACTTAAAAATACTTCAATTTCCACACACTATGCTCATGCTGACTCAATCTGACGTGACAAGCTTTGTACTAAGAAATGGCTCTTGAACAAGTGATCCAAAGTCTGCTACAAATATCACTAAAGAGGCTCCTTTTGACCCATTTGATTCAGCTGTACATGCCCCACTTACCATGAGGATATGCTATTGATGTTGCACAAGTTTTGGAAGTGGCAGCAGCCATCATCATGCCAACAAAGTCCGAAGCCTCTTTTGCTGATTCATCCTCACTGTTCATGGCAGAGGCAGTCTTATACTCCAGTAGTTTTCTCTTAATACTCTCATAAATAACAAAATGAATAACAGTCTCAGATATGCCTGCGTAGGACGCTGACATTCCTCTGTAAAAGCCTTTAATACCATCTGAACGATAAACTTTTTGGACACATTCAAAAGCACTCATTCGCTTTTCTCCACGATTCCTAAAAAGGAGAGAACAAGAGAGACATCAAGATGCTGCAACTTGAGGAAGGAAAACAGTTTTGCTAGAGCAACAAGAGGACTTAGGAAATATCTCACACTGATGATGAGGGCTCCAATTCAGATACATTTAAGAACACACAGAACTTGAAGTGAAAGTCTAAGGCCTTTCACACTAAACACAGGTGAAACACTATACTGAATCCAAGCCAAACTTCACATGGTGACTTAAGTGTCACATAGACAAGTTGACCAGCTCTAGGCCTCCACAAGTCTTACAGAATAAAGGACTAAATTGCTTGAAAAAGACTCCCAAATGGACTGTCACTGTGAGTGACTCATGGAAAACATGACCATTTTATTCTGCATAATGAAAATGGATTTCCCCTAAATTCTGCCTCAAAAAGGCAGCTCCAGAGCATGGCAATTACAGTGGCTCAGAGTTCAAACAGCAGGCCTCACAGTATCACAGCTATCAGCAATACCAACCATGTCTAGATGGAGCATAGCAACTGATACAACACAGGTAACTATTATTTGAATCAACTAAGCCGCTGCTGATATAAAGAAAATACTCATTAGACATGACTGTATCAAGAAATATTTGGTAAATAAAATCTTATTCTCATTTTTAGCTTGCTTAGTGAACTGAGTTCTGCCTACTGAAACACTCAGCATACTGTACACAGCAAAACCCTTACAAGACTGCAGAAAGCATGCTTCATTGTAGCCACAAGTGCCAGCACCAGCAGAGGTGAGTCACAGAATAAAACTGTGATTT